GCGGTCAAAAGCCTTTGCCACGTCTAGCATCAGGATAGCAACACTCATTCTGTTGTGCATAGCCGCGCCGATGAACTCCGTGAGCCTGACTAACTGCGTTGTGGTCGAAAGTCCTTTCCGGAAACCGTGCTGGTGATCAACGAGAAAGTCCAAGTTTTCTTGCATTCTGAGATAAATAATACGTTCCAGGATCTTGCTTATGGAGGACAGCAGGCTGATGGGTCTAAAGTTTGCCGGGTAATCCTGTGTTTTTTTTCCCTGGCTTAGGAATCATCAGGATGCTTGCTTGCTTCCAGAAAAGCGGGAAATAATTTTGATACAAACATGCATTGAGAATGCCTGTTAAAGGCATGTTTTTGCATGACCTTTCCGAGCTTTCTTTAAGTTCTTCGTCGTGGTTAGTTTGATAGAAGGTTCCGTAGAAGGGGAGTGCAGCCATTGATCGTTAAGGTAATGAACTTGAATGTCCGAACTATGATCTGAGGGGAAGGAATTTGGAATGAACTGTTTAGAAAGGTGTTCCGCAAAAAGTTCCGCTTTGTCTTGATCGGAGTAAGCAAATCTGTTATCGCATTTAAGCGGTTTTTCTGGCAGAGCAGGGGCGTTTTAGTGTCCTTGTATGACGCCAGATGGCGCCAGTTTCGTCGTTGATCTTTTCCATCTTATCCTGCCATAAGCTAGAACGATGGTCCTGAATCTTTTGCTTAATTTTCCTATTAAGCCTGTTAATTTGAGTTTTAATATCAGGATCCTAGGTGAGATTAAATTCCTTTCGGAGATGATTTCGAAAGCAGATTATTTCGCGAATATTGGCAGGAAGCGTGTGCTCATGTCTGACACGGTCAACCTCAGTCGTAGCTAGGGACTTAGCAGAATGCAGGTACGAAGTAAAGTCTGTTATAGCACGTTCAATATCCGAAGTGCTTTGTAACGAGTCACAATTAAAATCAGTGGTCATCAAAGTATTATGATAAAGATTCCAATCAGTATGCTTAATTGGCGGTAGGTTCTTAGCATTTTCCACTCCAAGGTAAGCAAGCACAGGTACATGATCAGAAGACATGTCACATGTTACCGTAATAGCCATAGGAATATTGAACGTCGTAATAAAAATATCCAGAATGTCAGGCCGATGGTTGAGTATATTTGGCCTATAGGTAGGCTCATCCGGCACATGCAGAAAGACAGGGTAATTACACACACACAAAATCATGCACTATGTGTCCATTATAATTCGAGTTGCGGCATCCCCAGTCGAGATGCTTGGCGTTTAAATCGCCACCTAGAAAGGTGGGGGAGTCTGAGTTAATAAGTCTATCCAGAATTTCAGCACTGAGCTTGTTCCCAGGGCGGTTATACACCGCACAGAAAGTGACATCCCCAATGTTGGGTAGATTCACCATCACTTTAACACTTTCCATTCCATCACAATTTTCTGCACTTTTCAGATATGAATCAAATGTCCTTTTAACATAAATGAGCACTCCGCCACCACGGTGGTGGAGTCTGTCACTACGGTAGCTGAAATAATTGGCTATCCTTAAGGAGTGCGAAGGGTTAGCATGGGTTTCTGTAATTAAGCAGATGTCTACGTCATTTTGCTGGATAAATTCATGAAGTTCCGGTATCTTGGAGGTAACGTTCTGCGCGTTCCAGAGCAGGATCTTAACAGGAGAACTTTGCCGGGAGGTGGGATTATCCATGGTTGGGGAGAAGCTGGCCTGACTGTGTCCTCTATCATAGAGGCGGTAGGAAGTGCCTTCGCTACATCAGCAAACATAGAGATGGCTGTTGTGAGCTTTTGAATTACCGCATTAGCTTCGTCGAGCTTTGCTTGAAGCTCACTGAGTTGTGGGAAGGTTGCTTGTGGCGCCATCTGTGGGGGAGTAGCATTACTATTGTTGACTACTCTATCTGCATATGATATGCCTTTTTGCACAAAGGATGAGCGAGGCTTGGGGTAGAACGAACAACCTTTAAAACTGGCAGTATGAGGAAGTCCGCAATGACAGCACTTTGGTGGCACATCCTTGGGCTTGGTGCAGTCACGAGACTCATGCCCCTGACCACATTTGACACACCGTGGTGCGTGACGGCATTGACTTTGAGCGTGGTAAAAGTCTTGGCATCGGAAGCACTGCGTGATACCGCGTCTACCTCTGTATCTTTCAACTGTTATCTTTAGCCTCATAAGATACTTTAGATTATTAAAAATGTCCTTGGTTTTCTCATTCCTTTCTAGCAAGATCAGGAATAGAGGCATGGGGGCAATTTCAGGACCTTTTCGGCGAGACATTTGTACAACCTTTTTAACAGCGTATCCTTCTGCAATGAGAGCATCTTGGATATCCGTAACTGGGGTGTCAATCGGAAGGCTACGAATGACGACTTTGATGTTTTTGTCTTCAGCAAGCTGATATGAATGAAATTTAATCTTTTTGTCGTCAAGGAGGTCCGTGATGTTACGATAAGTCTCACTGGAATTGACTTTGATTTCAAATTCATCTACGGCTTTCATCTTTGCATTAAATTCACTGTAGCCGGAGTTATCCAATAGATCAGTAATATCCTTCCATTTCCAGTTTGAATCCTTAATGACAATCGGCGGAAGCTTCGAACTTCTTTTCGGAAACTTAAATTCTTCAGATACATGAGCATCACTTATTTGCCCAGCCGGGCACGTGACCTCATCTGTATTTCCGATAGGCCGCACCATGCTTTCCGTCAGGGACGTACTTGCAGCCGGCTTCTCGGAGGATTCACTAGATGGCGCCACTTTAGCGTGGCTACTGGTCGCTACTTTAGATGGGTTTGTGGAGGAGATTTCATTCGGCTTTTTGGATGAATCATCAGCTTTTGCAGCCCTCGGTTTCATCCTGCGTTTTACTGCAACATCGCCTTGGGTAGTTGAGTGAGTACTCCGTTCAGTACCATGGGTATGAGCTTTTTCGGGAGGAAGCTGAGTTAGCACATGGTATTTGTTTTTCAAATCCAATTCGGCTGACTTTTCAGGGCTGAGCGGCCGTTTAACACTGTGGCTGGGGGTAATCCATTCCATGCTTGAATCCACATCGTTAGAATGGTTAGACTCAGATTGAGAGGCCAAATCTCTTTCCGTGTTATTTATTATATCCATAAATCTGTTCAGGAATGCCAATTCAACTTGCTCATAGGGGGTCAGGCTATCATTCCTGGAAGTCAGTGCATGAAAGCGATCCACAATTTGCTGAATAATTGACATTTTCCAGATCAAGTCCAAGTCAAGAAAATTAGAGCTAGGCAAGAAATAGGGCACGCAAGGACCTTTTACAGTCCCCAGAACACAAGGTTCAACGGGAACAAACCTTCTGTATGTGCCAACAAGTGCAGAAATATGCGAGCAGTTAGCAGAGTAACGGCAATCAAGAGCGAGGAAAACCCTCCAACCGAACGTCACCTAGCTCTCTCACACTGAGGTATAACTTTAAAAAACTTGCTCCACAAAATTAGTAAGCTGAACCGTGCGCTTATTCTGAAGGGAAGTTGAAATAAGAATTCACAGGAAAGGGTAACTTAAAATAAAAAGAAACTTGGTTATTTTAACTTAAATCCTTACAAGTTATCGTCAGCAGTATTTTAATTCGGTCCCACTGTAAAATTATTAGGCAGATATACTGAAAAATTAACAGTTTTATTATTGTCAACTGAACCTGCTGCTGCTAGATGGCTATGTTGAACACTACACTACAAAATCACATGAGAAAATTTCCTTTATTTTCAGATAATTTTTATAAAATAAGTTTAGATTTACTTTAGATTAATAGAAATTTCATGTGGTTCTTCAAAAACTTTTACCCATGTAAAATTCATTTTGCTATGCATAGAAATTATATCCAATGGACATTATTTCTTCTCGGCAAATAGATAAATAGAAACCGGGTAATGCTCACAGAGAAAAACTTTTGATTAACGATTTGAGTGATTTATTTAAAAAAGATCCGTTTTATACTCTTTGATGAATTTGATTACGCTATAAATAAATTAAAATTTTGCGAATTTTTTAATTTTCAGAGGACATATTTGTTCCAGTTGAGAAGAGTAATAAATTCGAAGTGGGGTGTGTGTGTGTGTGTTGAGTTATGGCAAAGCACACTAGGGCTATCTGCCTAAGGGGAGAGATGCCTTCATGGAGGACTTTCTAAGGGAAACTGGCTCGTATACACGTTACACATGGGGAAAACCACCAAAACGCCCATGCAGCCAGCCCGTTCGCGGGATTCGAACCTCGGACCGAACTACCAGTGTTTAGCGACTTTACCGCTCGGCCACTGGTGGGCCGAAGTGGGGTGAAACTTCTGCAGCAGCCTTTAAACCACAGTATATTATCATTTTCATAACAGGATTTCTAAGATAAATCTGAATTCGAAAGGCACATCACATATCCTTACTACTAATCACGGCCGAATCAACTGTACTATAGTATGATTTCCCGTTTCCGAATACTGTTGACAACGTCATTCTCATGGTTGCCATTTTATTACCAGCAATCGCATTAGCACCCGTGGGGATTTGTTCCTTACGCCTTCCTTGCGTTTCTCCACTGGTAAACCATGTTATCATGTTTAAAAAATATCGATAGAATTTTTTGCATATCACGTTCATTAATATTGTCAAATATTGAATAATTATACAGAATGACAACGAATTATTGTACAAAAGCTTTCCTTCCCTCCTTTGGTTTGTTCTTCAAAAATTTTTATTTTAATATACATCTTTTAAATTTCTATAACAAGTTCATTACGAATTGTAATATTTGTGGCATAAAATTTTATATTATGCATGAAAAAAATAATCACTGCTCTATCTAATTCTTTTGGTATATAAGATCTGTTTTACTTTTCAATCGAGGCGAGAGCTAAGAACTAACAAATAGATCTACGAAGCGACGCTTAAATGAGTACAAAGATGCATTGGTGAGCAACCTTGATATTTTGAAATTCATGATATGTTCCTTTTTGCAGGAAGAAGAATGGAGGATGGAAGCTGGTCGGCGGGAAACCTCCGCTTGGTCCCGTACACTCGGGATTCTTTAGCCAGGCAAGAGAGTCGCTGCAGGTCTGCAGAAGCCCGACGAGAGGAGCATGGATTTAAGAGAGAACGAAATGCTAATTTACCTGAATGTGAGTGCGTCTGCATAGCCCCCGATCTGCTACCATCTAACATCTTTTATACACCTCTTGAAGATGTTGGGCAGTTTGGTCCAGATAAGGTGTGTAACACATTTCTAAGATTCTCTTTGCTATCTTATTTTATTTGCTTTCGAATTGCTTTAAATTTTATTTGCTTTCGAATTGCTTTCAATTTTATTTGCTTTCAATTTATAATATATTATATTATGGCCCCCTGTATTAATGTACCTTTATGAAAAGGTAAGACCGATATTGTGCTTTTCTTGGGAGCATCGTTATCACCCAAAACAATTCGGACACCATACCGTTGTCATTCTTTACAACCTCAATCAAACATTCATTATATATAATTAACACGTATAGACTCCCAAGAAGATAGACGAAGCAGAGTGTTTATAATTAAATCCTACTAGGTTCTACTGGATGTCTGTAATTTAATCGCTGGATAGCAAAATTAAATTGAATCGCAATTTTAGGAAGTAACAAGAAATACTTTATATCAATATAATCTTTAGCGCGAGAAATTTTATTTATTATAACTTTTGGGACTGGCAGCCGGAATCATGTTTGTTCTTTACAGACAAGATGCCATCCTGCATTGAAAAAACAATGTGCTTTTTCTGGTTATGGGAAATCAAATCTCCGAAAATAGTCTAGAGACGATTCCGACATGAATTTAATAAACCTCCACAACGGAACAATTAATTAAAGGATCGTTAAAACAGTTTCAAGAGACCGGACATGTTTTGCATAAAGGAAATGCATGAAGGCATGGCGTCAGTGATGAAAACGTTTTCGCCATATCAGATGTGTTTGTGTGGAGTCCCAGTAAACCCATTTACGGTATCATGGAAATCTACATCTGTGTGACATCAAGCTTGCAAACAACAGGAGAAAAAGCAAAGTGGGAGCTTCTTTGTTTAGATTTAAGATGTTTGTTGTTCACTATCCTTTTGAAAATAGACCAAGGCTGTGCCAGGTTCTGTTCCACATGAGCATGCATTGCAAGAGCAAGCAGACACTGTGCGAAATAGGACAGCTAAGGGTACACAGGAAGGCAAATAATAAACAACTTTACAATTTCATACCTTAGAAAAGTAACAAGAAGCCCCTTCCTCAATGAATAACAAAACTAATTGAATGCAACAGATCAGGAACTCATTTATACTCTAAGAACTCACATGATCTTAGATGAACAAACTGCTGTTGAGTTAGTACTTCAAGAGACATTGACATTCCTTAAGTATCTCAGTCCATTCAATCGAAAAATTGTAAGCTGGTGCTCATGTAACAGAGATTTCCGGATCATTTGAATAACCGAACTCAGGGCATATACATCTAAAAAAACTAGCTCCCTTTTAACTGGTTTGCATTGGTTAGGGACCAATGCAATCCCACGGAATGCAAATAATCCCACGGCAAGTGTAAAAATAAGCTATTAATTAAATGTTAACTTTTGGGCCCACTTAGCAAAAAGACACTGAAATTGATGCATCAGCTGATTTAATTCACTACTGTACTAAGAGTTTCAAATGTAAACATATGGCGGCGTCCTTAGGCCTAGCGCAACTTACTCTTTTAAATTGCTGATAATTCTACAATTATTGCATGCAAATTAACTGAAGGCATAAAAGTCGTCACCGGAATATAATTCAATCACTTTTGAAGCGAAAAATGCACAATTTACCAACATATACGAATAAAAAGGTGAGCTCACCGATCCAGGTAACAGAGCGAGAATATTCTCCAAGTACGGAATTACTAAATTGATTCTTTAATCTTGATGTAGATGTAGAATATTTCTCTTGATGTAACATATTTTTGTAATTAGTTTGTTTGGTCTTTTTTTTTAGCCTTTTAGGCCTTTTTGATTTTTGTCAAATTTTTTTTCTTTAAAATATTTTTATGTTTTTATTTTTATGCTTTTATTTTTAGGTTTTTAGCTTTTGTATATTATGCTTGATCTCATTTGGGTACGAATACATGTAGGGAAAAGATCTAAACATTTGAGAACTATTAAAATGTTTTAAAGTGAAAGTTTGATATAATAAGTCGTTTTGAGTCTCAAATGAGTCAGAGGAACGACACATATATTGGGAACTCATTAATCAACTTCGTTTAAATCTTCAAAACATTTTCCCCTTGACATGTTCTGTTTCAAGCGTTAAACACAGGAGATTAATAATTTTTTTGTTTTGTTTTGAATAATTTTCAGTTAACGTATTTCGAGATTTGTTAAATTTACATATACTCCCTTTGGTAATTCCTTACCTGGAGAAGAAACTGGTGAAACCTTCATAAAGGAGGAACGAAAAATTGTAAATTTTGTTTCGACATTTCCTTTTTGATTTTTATTATTTTCAATATAGCAGCACAGGCGCAGAATCGTCTCTTTGCTTATATATATATATATAATTTTAAGTTATATAATAAGTTAACTAGTAATAACGAACGATAAAAAATAAAAGACCTATGTGGTCAAAAATTTTGCGCATTGTGCTGCAAAATTAAGGAAATTAGAAGATAAATTTTAGTACGCACGCTAAAAATATACCAAAAACTGTGGCTCCGTGAAAATTTCAACATAAGCATAAGCATATTTAGTTGCTATGAAATGTGTGAAAAAGGAGAAATATACAACATATGAATATTTACAAGTAAAATTAATAAAAAAATAGTAAGCTATATGCTAAACGAATTAAGTAGATTTAAAACACAGTAAAAAGCTAATCAATTGATCGAGGTAAAAATAAAAATAGTACGCTATATGCTAAACGAATTAAGTAGATTAAAAACACAGTAAAATACTAATCAATTGATCGAGGTAAAAAATAAAAATTAAGAAGCGATAAATGGTTAATTAGCCCAATTCGAAGTTAATTTTGGCTCGTCAAAGGAAATATTTTAAAATGAATTTCGAACTCAGCTCACAGGTTTCACCGAAACAGACAATTGAAACTGTGCGCGACAATTTTTTCAATGAATAAAATAAAACTATGTCAAAATCTTTAGTCTCAATTCTCTGTTCCAATTTCCCGACGCACCCGCTTATTTTGACACATTAAGGTGTAAAAAGATAAAAAATAAATAATGGAAAGCAATTCCGATGTACAGAAAAAATAAATAGCGATATGCTATTAGTCAAAATATACAAGATCTTATGGGTGGACCTGCGAGCTTAAAGAATTATACCGTAAATTATATTTAAAACAAAACGGAAAAGATAATATAAAAGACGAATTGAAGCATGGGTCTTGCCAAGACCTAGAAAAAATCTTAAAGAGAAAAAAAATCATTAAGAACAGACCTGGAATAAAGCCGTCTTCTTTGGCAACGAGGAAACTCGAAAAGGGTGGGTAAACCCCCGAGCGTTTCCATTGCCCTCCAACTTGCCGGATGACGTAGAAAGGGGGGAAACAACGTCACTGGTTAATAGCCATTGTAAAATGACTGACCGTTGGCAGCAAACCTGACTCATTGCAAAGGGGGGTGAAACGTGTTATAAAATGCAGAAAAAGTTCAAAATGGCGTCTTGTCATAGTAGTTTGAAGAAAATTGGACTGGGTAAAAGAGAAAATGGCTAATTCAACAAAATATTACCTAAAATTGCCTCTAAAGTAAGTAGAAATAATGAAAAAATAGTAATTTGTTAATTAAAATCGTAATTCTTCAAGCTAGAGGGCGTTCAAGCTACCAGAAACGAAAATAGCCCATAAGTTAATAATAGAATAGAATTGGCCAGCAAAGGTTTTTAAAAACTATTTAAAAATAGTATTAAAAGTATTGTGCCAAATTTTAAGAGGAAAAATAGACGTTGTGACAGGAATTATTTGTACATTTATACATTAGATCTTCAGAATCAGCCATCCACTTTATACCGTCCCATAAGGCTTTAGGCATAAAATTTCATTATCTAACTCAAAAAATCTAAAAATTGGTAAGGTTAATGCCAGCTTTTTTAAAGGTATTTTTAATTATTTTTTGAGGAATAAGGTTATTTTTCAATATTGTGACAAATAATATTGAAAAATAACCTTATTCCTTATTCAAGAAGAAGTATAGTACTTCTTGAAGTTGTTTTGCTGTATTGCAGATTCTTTTGATTCTAAGCAGCTGTGAGTAAATTGTGTTGAGGATGACTCTTTTAGAAATATTGGAATTCCAGTCGGTTAATTTAAGTGTTGAAAAGTTGAATTCTCTTCGTTTGTCATAGATTTTCAAAAAATTGTAATCTATAATATGCAAATCAAGGTAGACTTTATCATGTTGCTCGGTATTTGTAGTATTAAGTTTTAGGCATGAAGGGTAGCTATTAGTATTTTCAATCTTGCTGAAGTTGTTGAAGGCTATTACATCATCAATATATCGAAAGATGTGTTGGTAAAATTTATGATCTTCCTTATTGAGTGAACGTATAAAAGTCAATTCTTTTGTATAAAGGAATAAATCACAGACAGAAGTCGAAAATTACCGCTTATAGGAATTCCCGGTATTTGTTTAAAGATGTTGTTGTTGAATTGAATATAATTATTGAAATGTACGCATGAAAGAAAAAGTTGCCATTTTCAGCATTTATTATTGTAGTAGAAATTCGGGGAAATAATTCAGGAAGAGCAAGCAAACTTTTATAAATTTCTTGAAGTGGCAAAGTTAGTATAGAGATTTTGCAAAGTCGTAGTATTTGGATATGTTCTATTTTAAGTGTATTTAAGGTTATTAGAACATGTTCGTTACTTGAAATCATCCAGTTGCAATGTAGATCTTTAAAATCATAATTATTAATGATGTCACGTATTAGACGTAGTTTTTGTGCAAAGAGATAATCTATTTCCTTAAGATAACTTTTGGTACTATTGGCAAATATATTCAAATAAATGGTGCGGCCGATTGCGACGGGAAAGAGAGGTTCACAACTAGATATTATTGCAGCCCACGTACAAAATTTCAACTTTCTACCTCATTTTCGAATTATGCGAAACTGTACGTACAGACGAAAAAAATCTATTCTGAATCCATTTTACAATCCGCTATAGAAAAAAAGAGACCTTTATTCTGTCCAGAGTCGTAGCTAGGGTTTTCA